TATATATCTATATCACACATTTTTTTTTAAAAATATATATTAGATGAAAATGCACACATGCCCACCAGTTTCAGGGTAAGCACAGAGATGATTGATACTCACTATATTTGAACAGATTTGGAGACATTAATTATAACTCTTTAGGTGCCTTAAAGGAAAACTATTAATGAGAGATGGAGATGGTCACTGCTCAACACACACTCTGAAAATGCTAGTTGCCTGTCTGGTCTGACCTAAAACAATAATAAAATGACTTCTGACTTTCCTGAACTGCACACTTGTTCCGGGTTTGTGACTCATATAGCATTGAAGTGGGTAAGGATAAAAGTCAGTCAACTAGCATTTTCAGTGGGATATCAGCATCGTCAGTCCTACTATTTCATGAAATGTCTACTTTATTGAAAGAAAAGAAATTAGTTAATCTAGAATCTGTGGCTAGCAAACAACCTATGCTAAAAATCCTGTTCAAAATGGACAAATTAATAAGTGCAAAAATGTGAGACCATTCTCCAAGGTGTATGAATGTGGGCATCCTTGGAAAATCGTTTGACCCAAAGCTCCTTTATTTAACACTCCAAGGAATTGTCAGACTCAATTCTCTCAGTGGCCTCGTGAAAAGGTTACCGATTCAAAGAAGTTGTATTAAATGCTTCTGCCTCATTACAAAGTGTGCCTGGAGCACTGCGGCACCTACCCCCACCACTGCAACAGCATAAGCCAGCATGGTCTGAGGCTTTGCGCCCTCATTATCTAGGTTATTCCCTTTGGCACATTTTCTAATAATTAGATTCTTTGTAGGAAAAAAAAACAACAATCATTCCATGCAGAACATCATAACAACAGTATTTTCAGAGCCAAGGTTGGGAGTAAGGAGGAAGCCTAAAATACAGTTTTGCACAAAACCACCATAATCTTCCACTGAGTAAAGTTATTAAATGTAGCTTTATAGTGGCTTGTCACCAAAAGCTTTTACCTTCATCTTCTGCTGATGGTGGTAGATTTGCCAAGCTATCTGGACATGTACTGCACACCACTTGCCTGGTTTCTGCAAAAGCAAGGGAAATACGGTGTGAGTGCTGGAATGGCTTAGGGCCCCAGGCAATTTTTTGGGCCCTCAAATATGTAAATTATTCAAGATAAAAACCCTGCAAACCATTTGCAGTCTTTAACTATCTCAAACATTCTATTCATATGCTTGCCCCTTTTTTCCTCAAGCTAGACAAGTTGACATGAGGATAAAATATTACATAAAAACTCAGAAGAGGCAAAATCTAATATGAAAGGTGTTGAACAACAGGTCCAACTGTATCATCAGTGTACTAATTACTCCACGTAGATTGCTAACATTACTTTATGGAACACCTGGACACTAGAACTATATGAGCAAACAGATTAACCAAACTATGCTAAAAAGGGCTACAGTCCTTCTGGGTACCGTACAAGAACTCCAATATATTCAATCAATGCCAGACTAGTGTACTTGATTAAAATGATGACTGGAATTCCGGTGTAGCCCAACACCTCAAATGAACCTGCAAGCTGTTGCTTCTAGTCATTAAAGAGCAGCATATCCTACCACTGATATCAGGGAATATAGGGGGTAATGGCAAGCTGATCCAATCTAAGTACTGGTCATAGCTTTAAAGATTTCTAAGCTTAAAGGAACCTGGTCATGATTGAAATGTAGAGGCTGCCTTTGCTGACCCTTCCCTCTTGAAAATGCTACTTGTCTGGCTGCCATGCTGACCCTCTTGCTTTAATACTGACCTGAAACAACTATGCAGAAAAGCAATACTAACTTTCTGCTCTGCACACTTGCTCCAGATCCAAAATGGCTGCCCCTTATTAGTTATGACCGGTTCCCTAATATTATGGCTACTGAGGTAAAATGTATTTTTATTAACTTACTCTTACTGGTGTCCTGTATGGATCAGTAACCTGCAAGAGAAGCAAACATGTCAGTGGACTGTACTACAGACTTCCACATCCAATCTATGAAAATAATTTCTTGTAATAGATAAAAAAAAAAAAAAAAAGTTTCATTTCAAGAAACAAAACACAAATATGAATCACAAAGAAAAAATGATCACAAAGCAGGCATGTTGTAGAATGATGAATTATATACAAACCCCAGGTGTTTTCTGTAGGAGAGTATGATGTACTGCACCGGGCCTGCTAGTGACATCAATGGCATTTGAGGTCTGCAAATGGGAGGAAAAAAAACATTAACGTGTCATGTACAATTTACATGAGTAAAACCCCATGATTAAACCCCACTTAAATTTATAGCAGAGCCCCTGTTGTGTAGTCTATTACATTAAAATCGCTTACTTTACTTGTACTAGGAGCTGATGGAAATACAGAGCTTTTCTAGAGTGCTCCAAGTTATCTATCCTGTTAGAGAAAACAATCATTTCTCATTTGGCTTTAATGTCCTGTTACACTGAAAACATAACTGCAAGCTTCTAGCATGCCCAGAAGGAGGACAGTGTGTGGCAGCACGGTTTCTGGATCAACAAGAGGATTGAACAATTCTCAACACCTCAGTCCACTATGGTTAATGGTTTTAGTAAATCTAGCAGGCAGATATCCATGTTCCGTAGTACACATGACAGAATGCATGACAAGGTCTAGTTGACTGGGGAGCTGATGATATGTGACATAATACACTGCACTGACGTGTGTTTAGGCTATAGCAAAAGCCATCAGCTAGTAAATAAAATAACTACAGCCCCGGTACAATGAAATGTGACCAATGGAAAAAGGTTAGTTGGCTGCCTGTATAACAGAAGGGTACTTTATGGGCACTTTAGGCCGTGTGCTAACAAGAAGCAAATCAATCATGTGCCTTCCCCTGGTGCATCATATGCAATGCACAAGCGGATATCAGTTTTCCTGTGACTGCAAGCTCTATGGCTATCACTGTCAGATAACTTGTGACAATGAAATGAGTTTATCCAGCACAGTGAAAAGCGATAAGCCATGCTATAGACAGCGCATTGTGTCACTGAGACAGCAAACATTCACATTCTGTTTTATTTCAGAGCCACCGTCGTCCCCCATTAATCACAGAAATATTACTGTCCGTATTAATGTTACCCGATGCCTTACTCACCTTCGGCTGAAAAGCTCCCTGAAGAGAACTAAATGGACCTGAATGAGGAAGCATTGGGGGCATTCCAGGCATTGGAGAAGAATATGTTGGAAAGAACTAGAAAAAGAACAGAATGATATGTAAATGTCATCATAAAGAAATAGAACATAGCATGCAACATAAAGCAGCTATAGAACAGCAGACCGAAATGGTGCTAAAAAGATCCTGTACACAGAAGGATGGAAGCAAGCAGCTACTGGGATCGCCAAATCGTGTGCTCAGCAACACTTTTCCAACAAGCCTGGGAAAACAGTGGTTGCTTCACTAATATCCATTAGGTCTGAGAATATCAGCAGATGAACATTACAATGTTACTGTTACTCTCAAGGGTACCTATCGATCCTGCTATAAGTACCCCTATTTATTGTTGGTTAAACACTCTGCTTCATAGTAGTTAATGCCAGGTTGTTATTCTTAAAACACCACAGAGAAGAGACTGAAGTAGCATTGCTGGTCTAAGGTCACTTTCATTTAGATAACGTTTGCTTAGACTTTACAAGGATGAAGTACAACACTTCTGTCCCTTTAAAATTAGATTAACTGCAAGTGCATCCATGAAAACAATACATGGAAACAGCAATGTGCAATATTTTAGAGGATGCATTTCAAGCCCTCAAATCCAGAAGGGTGGCCACCAATGATATTAAAGGCATACAGGGAATGGAAAAAAACCAAAGGGTGAATCAAGCAGTTATTTTTTGTGTCAATTCACATTGTTTAAATGATGTCCTTAAATCCCTGCTTCAAAATAAAGGTGTAGACTTTTTGCAGTGAAAGCAGAGCCATGGCAGTGTATGGGGACTAATATTCAGTGTCCAACAAACTGTATATTTGAATAAGAGGAAGTCACTTTTAAGAGGCTAATCTTTCATCTGCAAGCAATTTGTATTCCCTGCTGCAAAGCAAGACAACTGAGTACTCACCAACAAGCATAATAAAGAGCCTAAACACTAAAATAAAAATGCTTATGTAACAAAAACTACAAGCATTGGCAAATAAATGCTTAACAGTTGCTATCATCTAATCGAACTTCGGGTATCTGATGCAGCATATACTTTTACAAGTATCTCTGGTTACATAAACTGACTTCTATTTGAGGTTTAGTGGTCCTTTATATGAAAACTGGAAGCAGGGTAGCACGACTCATTGCAATACAAAGGACAGGTTTATACTATAGCACTAGGAAACATTAACACATTCTTTACTTCAATATAAAAGCAGTGGTAAATATTTGTGGACTTCACATGGTGCAGATTTTATGGGGTTTACCAGCTTGACACATTCTGCTACTTTCCTCTCAATCATTGGCCATCCAAATATGTTAAGCCCTCACAATACCATTGGTAGGTTATTTAACATATTTTAAAAAAAGATCTAATTGAACATTTTTGTACATCCACTGGAGATTTTCCAAAACTGCAGTGATAGTCCAACTTTTTCTTCTCTGGGAAAGCTACTCAACAGTGGGTGTACGGTTTTCTTTAATGACAATTCCACAGTGTAAAAGGCATGGAGTTATGATGGGCACATCAAGCCTGTGGGGCTCTAGTTAGATAGTATTGTTGCAGGCAATCTGTCTTCCACTACTACACAGATTGAATAGACCAAATCACAAGAGGAATCATCGGCAGCAATCACATGTCATTAGAGAAAGAGTTCAAACAAATGTGATCAGTTAACTCCACTGGGGCTGCTTTCATATGTGGCACTGCAGCATTTGTAAGTTGTCGAATGTCTGCAGTACCATCCATTGTCAATCACAGATGTTTGCACCCTGGCAGCAGGGAATGCAGTTTAGTGAACTGAGAATATGGAAAAGAATACAGTACAGTAAATAAGCTTAAGCATAAACTTACGCTAGAATGACGAAAATAAGAGCTGTCTAACTTGGGAGCGTACTTGTCAAACTAAAATGGAAGAGAACAAAAAAGCAAATGGGTACATTGTTAAAAATGGATGGCAGGGACATGTATTTCAACATTTTTGTTTTACTGAAAATAATAACAAGCTTCTAGTAAGTCATAAAATAAAGAACATTGGAGGGGCTGATTTAATTAAAAAAACCCAATGCAAAAAGGTAATACATTCTGCTTTCAGCAACCATACTCTAGTTCCCATTTATCTAGTGAAGAATAGGAAAATGTATCTTGACCAACAGGTTGCAAATGGGCAATAGCAGTATTTTCTATCCATTCATTGCTGAACAGATTGCCTGCAGTCAAAAAAAAGAAGAAAAAAAAAGGCCAATAACCAATCAGGTGTTATCAAAAATTAAATCTGGTTCCTCATTGGTTATGGTACTTTGTTCATTGTTATGGGCCTTATTAAACTGAGGGTGGAATCTGCAATGAGTTTAGAGATTAGTAAATTCCCAAGCATGTCTGAATCTCAATGTATTGCATATAAATAAATATTAAAAAAAAACAAAACAAAAACCACAGATTAAGTTAAAATTCCCATCAAATGCATGAATACAAATCAAAATACCCATGGGTTATCCAAACTTTAACATAAATATATTAAACAGGCACATGTTCATAAAAACCCAGTTGAAATCACATCAAGTCAGTGCTTAAAGCAATGTGTTATATGTTAAAGAGTTTAGTATAGGATGGTAGCAAGCCACAGACTAATTCATAAAAATCCACTTTGTTGATCGAACAGTTCTTTATAATAACATATACTAATTATCAGAAAGTAACAATCACAACAGCAGAAAAAGAGGTGGAGCTGCAACATGTGTAAGTTTCCCACCAGCCAGTCTTGGTACAGCACCAGCCAGCGTGAAATGTACTTGGACGTCAACTCCGGCCTCCTTATTTCTTTTCTGTAAGCACCTTGTTTGTATAAGGATAATATGTACACTGTGAAGACTATAATAGAAACTTTTTAAATGTGTATTAGGAAGTGGATTTTTATGGTTAGGCTTATGACAAAGTGATTTACACTTCGCTGGGATGTTTTCTAAAATATCTAACCACTCCCCTCCAGTTAAATTATCATTTAGGAGATTTAATCCATGACCTCAATAATCTAGTGATGCCAGCTCGGATAACAAAAATATCTGCATGTTAGCTACTAAAGCCTGCAATGCACCTGAAGTCACCAGGACATTAGATGTGCAGATAAACATGTGCAAAAAAAAAAACTCTTCAGGAAACTCCAGGTGTGACCCCAGTGACTGGATATCCCAAGAAAAAAGGAAGCGGAGGGAGAAGGGAAGTGGGTTTGGTGCGCTACTTATCCTCACATTTCGAGCTGGGGTACGCACCATGGTAGGTGCATTAGGCGGCATAAGCTGCGTCGGGGGTAGGTTGGATGTGAAGGGAGTAAAAGTGTGCTGGTGGGTGTGTTGGTGCGTGTGTTGGTGCTGGTGAAACTCCGCCCTCAGCAGCGGCACAGAGCCGAGAGGGGCACCAGCCCGGTCCGAGGTCTGAACCAAAAATCGATTATTCAGCTCCTGTCTGAGAAGTTCGTGATCTAAAAGAGACAAAAAAAAAGACACAGAGGCCCATCGGCCCATCAGTTTCCCCAAAGACATAAAAGGAAAAAGCGCAGATATTCACCTGGCATTCCCTGTTTCTGCAGGTCATGCTGTGGTGGTTTTCTACGTGAGGACTCATTGGTGGAGGTAAGAGAGATGCCTGTGACAAAGTACCAATCAGAATCCCCGAATGAGGCTGGCAATACATGATTGGTTGGTTGAATGATATCAACAGGCTGGTATCTAAAGACAAGAAAGAACACCATGAGTCATCTCAGGAGAAAACATAACGGGCCTTTTTATTATGCAGTACAACAAGCCACACCTAACTAGCTCAACTCTATTCCCAAACTGTGGTCTGGAAATATGATCAATAAGAATATTCATCTGATCAGTGGCTATAAAACAGATATAAATCACTGGTGGTAGGAAATTGCCAATTAAACACAGCTGCTAGTTATGGCACACAAGGGTTTGTATTTAAGAATGCTCAGCACATAAGCCAACACTTGCATTGTAGTGGTCTTAATAAATGGCCCAAAAGAAAAAAAAAACTACAGGCTGACAACTAGCAAAATCAGTGTTAAATAAATGACACCACATACTAAAAAGGGGTACATGCATATAAAGGCTATTACTATAAGGGTGCTTTCTAATGGGTATGAAGCTTTACTCTACTGAATATTCATCAACTGCCAGCGGTTATTAGCTGTCAGTAAACATCTGTTCTTATCTAAGCATCTGTGTGTAGGCCTCTGCTGACACACATTGTCAGGCAAGAACCTCCATTCATGGAAATAACAGAGGTCCGCTGACAGCCGTAAAAGACAGTAGATGTTTGTGGGTGGATAGCTCAGAAGTCTCCATACCATTAGAAAGGCACCCTACATTAAACACATTTCTTAACAATTAAGGAACAGCACACATAACACTCACACATATGCTTACTCAAACCCTCCTGGAACAAAAAAGCTTATAGTATCAGTAGGAGTACCACTATATTTAAGATCATGACTGCACGAGTTGCGCAATGATTTTACAGTAGACTCCATTATTCTATATGGTGGGTCTTAATAGTTAATCTATCAATTAGTTAAGTCCTGGGAATCCTGGTCTAAGGACCTGAGTTGTTGTTACAACTTGTAGATCGATTTAGTGTGTCTCATAAGAGAACCATAGATCTGTAGGCCACCTTAAGGGACCTGACTGCGTGGTGCAAGTACATGTTATTGCTGTGGAAGTTTTTAGAGGTTTAAAAGTAAACACTCATGTGTCTAGCTTTTGGACAACCGACATGTGGTTACAATTCCCTATTCCCTAAAAGACCGGTATTTAATGTGTACAAAACTAGCTGGCTTTACAACATCTAGGCCAATGCACATTATTTCTTGTTAAGAGTATCATTTGGACTACATTGCTACATGCTACCTTTCTTTAGAGGACATTGTGAAAGCATGCCTAACTAGTGGGACCAAGAGCAGACATCTCTGCACTGCTTTTGAGCCCTGGTAGAAATAATGTTATATGTAGTCAATATTTTCCTTGTATTCTACAAACATTTGTCAATGGCTTAAACAAAGCCAGCACTTCGTCTTGATTTGCATTTAATCACAATTATTTGATTACATATTGCAAACATGAAAAGTATGGGGAAACTTGTAGTGTTCCTTTCATCAGAATGCATGGAGTTTAAGAATTTTCAGAATTGTACACACTTCAGTGTACAATTATGGAAAAAAACTACTAGCTTCCAACATTAGGTGTTAAGTGCTTTACAAAACATGGGTAATGCTAAAGTAGGAAGTTTGACTCAGGCTATGCTGATGGCAATTTACTATATAAAAGATAACATGGTCAGGAATATTCTCTGTGTGGGACAAACTACCTATACTACAAGGAGAATTACAATTACCGGTAATGCAATGCTGATCTTTTTTTAAAAGATAACTGCACATTAATTGGCTGTCAATATTTAACTGCACATTAATTGGCTGTCAAACATATCTGGGTAAAAGGGGTCTGTATTATATGGAGGCTATTTTATCACACATACATAGTTCTCCATTCATACATCATAGATATACTTACCGGAATATCCAGCTCCAGCAGGGTGCCCAGGGATTACAAGGCCATTAGTAGGTAAAGATGGTGGAGGTGGCAGTGTGGGAGGGCTGGCAAACATGGCCGGATGATGCTGCGATTGAGATCTGAGAGCAAAGTGTGAGGTAGCAAGGTTGGAGATGGAGAGGGGCAGACCCGGTCCAGCAGGGTGATGTGGAGGAATCTGAGGGGAAGACGGTAGGTGCTTGGGTATGCTGATACTCGCTGCACTGCTAGCACTGCTACTCCGGCTGCAGGGTAAAAGAGAAAAAATAAATAAAAAAATAGCTTTTGCATCACATTTATTTGTTTCAAGTCCCCAGTCTAAACAGCAAACATTAAATATGTCAAATTACTTTGAACTGACAAAATTACTGTGTAAAGTCTTAACATAAGATAGTCCAAATAATTACCTTATGCTGGTGATTCCGTTTTGTGGCAGCTGTTGCTGATGTTGATGCCCAGGATAGGTAAGATGTGAAGGGATATGATTTTGAGTCCGTAGCTCAATAGGTAATAACTGAGGCTGAGACAAAGGCCGAGACTGAGGACGTGGTTGGGGTTGAGGTGTTAGTCTTGGTGGAGCTGGGGCAACAATGGTAGGTTCTTTCTTTACTAGAGGGCTAGCCCGAGTACTTGATGCCGGTGTAGATGAGGCAGACGTGACAATAGCAACAGGAGGTGGTGGCGGACTATGTATCGGTGGGATATATAGAACCTCTGTGTTCAGCTCCTGGCTGCGTTCTAGTCCCGACACTTTAGGGTGGCAGGGGGCCTGTGACTCAGGCTTGTCATTCAGAAGGTTACCTAAACATATTGAGAAAACAGCAATTATTTCTACAGCTACAAATGTGCAACATGCAATAGTTAAGTCAAAACAAAGCAGCAGTGCTAAGGCACTTATCTGAAGGAACAGTGGAACGGTAAAGATTAGGCTACATATGTAGTTCTAATGACAAGTTACCAAGTGGTTTACTCTCTGGAAGGCAATTACCTCATTTGAAACAAACCAAAATCCACAATGCGATTCCTCAGTAGCAAGAGATCGAAATTGGCCATACTTTGCATCAACACAACAGGCTATCCAGTGCAGACAACAAACATATACAAATGTGTGCCACCATGCTACTTGAGGAAGGGGAATTAGGAGTACAGAAAGAAATTGCATGGTCAACAACAATGGTCATAGTTCCAAATGTGACTCTGAGAGGTTCCAGCAGATTTTAAGATAAACAATTACAGATAAAAGCTAAGCAATAGATTGTTGGGGGATTTCCACCAGGTGTTCATCTGTTGAACTGCCGTCACAAGCAGTCATAGATCATTGTTACTGCTAAGACCATGGACCAGATTTCCACTGATTGACAACATTGGTAATATAGGGGTCAGAGGTCAAGCAGCAGGGTCCTATGCCAATCTCTCTATAACATGGCCTACCTCTATACAGGATATCCCCCTTTAGTCCATCATGAATGCTGCTGCCAAACTCCTCAGCCTTACCAACCCGCCCAGTGTCTGCAACCCCCCTCTATCAATCCCTCCACTGATCACTCAAAGAATAAACTTCTAAATATTAACAACCACTTACAAAGCCATCCACAACAATGCCCCCAGCTACATCACCAACCTTGTTTTAAGATATCACCCAAACAGTTCTCTCCCCCTTCCCAGGACCTCCTGCTCTCTAGTTCCCTTGCCAATGCCTCCCATGCTTGCATCCAGGACTCTGGAAATCCCTACCCTGACCTATAAGGCTATCTCCTACTCTGACTGCCGTTAGACAATACCTGAAAACTCACCTCTTCAGGGAAGCCTATTCTACTTCTACCAAACAAATGGACTTTTACTTTCTCACACAACTTATTCCCACACAGCTACCACCTTTTGTATCACGTGTCCCTCTCTTGTAAGCTCTTACGGGCAGGGTCCTCCTAACATTCCTGTCTTGAATTGTTACCGTTCTTTCTCCCTTTATATTGTAAAGTGCTGTCCTATCTTTTGGTGCTATATAAATCCTGTATAATAATAACATGAGAAAAACAAAACTTTGTCTCTAATAATTGTCATGCATGGCAATTTGTAGACAAATCCAGCCACTTTCAAATCACAAAAAAAATGTATCAAACATACATCCCAGTTTCAATTATTTTACCAGTTTTACAAAAATAACCAAAGACTATAACTGGTTGAAATTGCCTGAAAGCCGCAGGGTATATGGCCAGCATAACAAGACATAAGACAACTAAAGAGATGTAAGAATATATTCTTTGCAAAGGTCATAAACAGGTGCCTCAGTAATTTTCAGATAACATTCAAGCCAAATGAAACCATGCACAACTGCAGATTAAATTATGCTTTTGGAAAAGCTGTATAAAGTTAGGTAAAAAGGCAATCAGATGTATTCAATAAAGCAGAGCAAACAGTAATAGTGACACTCAAATTGTATTCATCCACAGTGATAATATGCCATTGTAATGAAACACGATGTATATAGTTGCTATAGGTTAGAATACACTGAGCTACAATGACTTTTTCTGCAAAATAGATTTAACATGATTTAGAGAAATTATTTTAATATGGCCATAAAACAGAAACAGTAACACAAAAAATGGACTGTCTAGGAAATTCGAACAAATAGCTCAAGTAGAAAAGTAGATGTGCCTGACAAACAGTCTGCCACAATCTGGAGGAAAAAAAACAAGCAGCTGCCACTACCAATTTCCTCTCGTCAGTGCCTTGATTGTCAGGAGGAGAAGTGAAACAGACATTTGCCAGCTTTAATAAACTGCACTGGCCCAATAATATTAGCAGAGACACAGCTGTTGTAGGTTTAGTGTATAAAGAGAAAAGGTAGAAGAGCCACTAGTCCCGAGTCACTAGAGCAGTCAGTACTCAAGAAGGGGGAACTAATGTGTGGGTTTGATGATGAATTAGACATGCAGAATATTCTACAAGTAAAATCCAAACCATAGATGCCAAGGAATGGGAGAAATAATGTAATGTTTCCCTTGATGACACACAGGCAATAGCCGCAAAGTATTAGAAATAAAGGACACCAAGCAATTCACTGCAAATGAGGTCCAATAAAATCAGAGAATTGCTCTATGTCAAAGGACCTACACTGGGTAAAAGGAACAATTACAAAACAGACTGAGGAGTACCATAACCATATATAGGTCATGACATTCAAATGTGATCTCTATTATCCTGATTTTTAAACCAAAGAGTACACATCTGCTTAGATTACAATTGTAATGGGTTACATCCAGATGTTTTACCTATAGTAACAATTCTTCATGGAACACAAACAGAAATCCACTTGATGGGAATGCTGTGAATATCTTAGAGGGGGGTGAAGGCATCACTGCCCTCCAACTAAGTCACTGTTATAAGACTGACAATCACAAATCTCATCTCTGAATTGATTTATTCATAATAATAAAAAAAACCAAAAAAACTAGGTGTCATTTTTGATAAACATTACATTATCCCAAATATTCATGTAGGGTATATGACTTGCCTTTTGTAATCAATACTACATGTGTCCACAGTGGAAATGCAGACATATTGCCAAATACAGAGTAATATACACAGGGCTCGAAAAATCCACTCGTCCACTCGTCTGTGACGAGCAGACAGTGAAGCCCGACGAGCACCTGAATATACATATATGGGAAATATATTACCTGACAAAAGGATTTGTAAATCTGCCCTGCCAGTCCTATGATTCAAACACCTATGCTATAGTCAGTTTCCACTCCAACAACTCCAGCAAGTGGTTGACAAAGAAAGCTATAAGGCTGAAGCAGAATACAATGGAGCAATCTTCCTGGCTTAGCTGGAGCAATGTACAATCACAAGAGGCCTAAAGTGTATGTAAAGCCGAGACTTCTTTTGTTTTACATAGAGTAGGGGGAGAGGTAACACCCTTGCACTGTGTTTATTTTGTGTTCTCCTGGGGAGACATCCCTTCACATCCTGTCCTGGAGATATCTGCAATGTCAACAGAATTCCCACCCAAAGCTGGCCATAAATTTTTTTTCAATTCAAGCGGCTGGCTGATGAAAAAACTATAACCGATTCCTCCATCCACAGTAAACAGTGTGGATGGACAAATCTGCTGGGCTTTTGTATTCTAACAGCAGCGGGTGGGCCGCTGTCAGAATACCTGAAGAGTGACGGTAGCCGAATTGACTGCCATCACCGCTCACTTGAGAATTGTCTGATCAAAAGATACCAGATGGAAGGCTGCCGACAGGTCCACCCACTGAATGAATTTCGGCTGGATCATCAAGAACTGCACAGTCAGTGGTCACAGACACAAGTGGATCTTCCTTTACGCCCCATTGTGGTGATAACTCAAAAATGGTGGATTGTCGTATCACTTTCTGACAATGATCTCGGGACAGGGACATAGTAATACAAACTTTACAAAATGCTTAATGCTTCCCTACTCTACCTAAACCTAAGCAAAAATAATTTTGCCTTTCACAAGCACTTTAAGAGAATTACAAATCCCTTGTCAGGTAACAGACTTCACACATGTGTAGATTATATATATTTAGCTGTATATCTATATTTAGCTGTATGTCTGAAGATATACTTTAATGTGACACATGGTATACTATATATGATATAGTATCTATTCTATAAATGCTGTGATGCTCTTTGGGCAAAGCCTCTGTCTAGTACACTTAGGCTCCTCAATGTCACCTACATGTAAAATGGCACCATTAATGGATTTTACACTAATCAGCAAAAGCCCAGTTAAATTCTGCTTGCATACTCCAGTGAAGCCTAAAGAAGCCTCTTCCCCAACACTGTGCTCCCAGAGCTCTTTTCACATACACACATAGGAGATTCAGTACCTATGGTGAGAGTGACATCGCGGGCTACCGCAGTCTGAGATAAATTGATGGAGGCAGCTAACCGGCACAACGGGGGACAGAGAAGAGACTCTCTGGGGAAGAAGGAACATTGGAGCATGTGTGTGTATCTATCTATATATCCACCATGTGAAAGCCTGTCACACACAGCCACAGGACAACTGATGTGACAGATACATACAGGGGATTTATTCCTTCCAGGGAGGGCATGCGTTAGATTAATTGTATAGAGAAAATCTAGCTCCTTCAACTAGAACTAATCTAGACATACAATTCATGCACTCGCTGTGCATCTACAGTGCATATGAGCCAGATAAGCCCAGTGAACAACTGAGCACAGCCATCAACAGAGGTTAAATCTTTTTCCAGCTAGTCCCGATTTGTGTAGGTCTTTACTGTATCTGATTTCTGCACACCATTTTTCGTTGGTCCATCTGATAATGCAAGGGTTGGTAGCTAAAGTGGGATATAGCGAACAAACCACAAACTGATATATAGAAGTTGGATAGCTTGCCGGCTGTCACTAGCTATTCGCATTGACTGTCATCCAGCCCTCTGAGTGAGTTATTAATCACAGCAATTAAATCATGAACACGGCCCTGGTGCACATATTGAGCCCCTACCAACAGATCGATGAAAGCAAACCTCCAGAAGCAATTACTGTTCAGTGTAATGCAGCTGCCTATTATTTACAGCATGATGAGGAGCTGGTTGTACTAACCGTGCTCTGTATAATACTAAACAAGGATCGTGTGCTCAGCTCTGTACAATACTCCGTGGACCTCAGTCTAGGTACTATATACTTATTCCAAATCCTGACTCAAATAAATCTCCTGCACACCACAGTAATGGCTTTGCCCTCTGATATCTGAATTAGGTTTATGCTTTGTGTGTTGCTCCCTGGACAAGTGCATCACTTCT